GTTGGTTAGGACTTTTGGTAGCAACAATTTGTACGAGTGACACGAAAACAATTCAACCTTTATTTATACATGTTAATCCCAGTGAGTCTCAGGGACTTATTTAGAAGAGACCTAATTTTAACAAAGAGTGATGACAGCAGTCGCCAACAAAGACAACAGTAGACAATCATATAAATTGTACAAATTGAGACAAACAAATAAAATAAATTGTATTCCATTCATCCATCCATTATCTTCTACCAGCTTCTTCCATTTTGCGTCAAGAGGGTCGCCGGTTCCAATGCCCAGCAATCACTGTGCGAGGGGTGTGGTACACCCTGGACAGGTCTCCAGTCCATCACAGGGACTCATAGAGACAAACGAGACAAACAACCATTCACTTACTCACTCACACCTAGGGACAATTTAGAGTTACCAATCAGCCTAACCTGCATGTTTTTGGTCTGTGGGAGGAAACTGGAACACCTGGAGAAAACTCACGCATGCACGGAGAGAACATGCAAACTCCACCCAGAAAGGCTCCCAGACCGGGAATTGAACCAGGGACCTGCTCGCTGACAGGCAGAAGCTCTACCAGTTGCACCACTGTGCTGCCAGAAATTCTATTAAAAAATGAAATAAAAAACAGCTGGGTTGTAAAGGGAATTAGAAAACTAAAAACAGGAACATGTCTGGATTGTTTTTTGCCATGAACTTAACAGATGTTTGAAGTCACTTAGAGAGGTCAAAGGTCGAGAGCTTCAGAGTTTTTTGCAAGATATTCCAGGAAACAGGAGTGGAGTAGGAGAAGGCTCGTTTGCCTAGTTCAATCCACACTGAGGGCATATCGCATGTAATGATGTCCTGAGAGTGCACGCTGTAGCTGCACTCATGCAGAGTCATGTAGGAGGAGATGTATGAAGGCAGCAGGCCAAGAAGTGATTTAAAGATGAAAATGTACCAGTGGGAGGGTCTATGTGAAGTTAATGGTGACCAGTTAACCAGTGAATACTGGGTGCAGTGGTGGGTATGGTAGTTACAGCCAGTTATGAATCTTAGTGCACTGTGATAGACAGCATCCAACATCTGCAGCATCCAACATCTGCAGGGTTCTTGTAGGAGCATCCATGTAAATAATGTCACCATAATCAATGGAGGGAAGGAAAGTCACAGTTACAAGGTGTTTCCTAGCATTCAGGGTTAGACAGGATTTGTTTCTGAAAAAGAAACCCAGTTTAACTTTCAGTTTCTTTACCAAGTTTTCCACATGAGGCTTAAAAGAGAGCTGCGAGTCGACCAAGATACCCAAAAATTTGTAGAAATCGACAAACTCAATAGATGCACCAATCGAGGATAAAATCAAAGGAAGAACTGCTCGGACTGACTTCCTGTTTGAAAAAAGCATCCCTTTGGTTTTGTCGGCATTTAGGACAAGTTTGAGACGGAACAAATCTGACAGGATGATGTCAAAAGCAGACTGCAAAAGCTGGAAAGCCTTAACCACTGTTTTAACTTGACAATAAACAACTGTGTCATCAGCATACAAATGTAAGGATGCATCAGGGATGGTCTGACCTACATTACCTATGTAGATTGTAAAAAGGGTGGAACCTAAGACTGAACCTTGAGGTACACCTTTGTTTACCGTTAAATAACTGGAAGAAGTACCATTATGTTGAACACATTGCCTCCGATCTGAAAGATAGTTAGAGAACCAACCAATGGTGTGTTCTGAGAAACCAGTTTCTGAGAGTTTATGACACAAGATGTTCTGATCCACAGTGTCAGAATCTTTAGACAGGTCTAAGAAAAGTGCAGCACAATAACCCTTAGCATCCAGTGCTTCAACAACGTCATTAAGAACCTTCAGTGAAGCAGTCGTTGTGCTGTGTTGTTTCCTGAAACCAGAATGATGGAGAGGTGAGATGTTAAATGAGTGTAGCAGTATAGAAATATACCTGGCTAGGGAAATGTCACTTCCTCTTAGATAAGTGGGCTGAGTGTGAGTGGGTTTTGTTTCCACTGAGGTTACAACTGTTGTCTCTATGGAATATTACCAGTGTTCTGGCTCTATAGAGGACTACTGCTGTTTGGATTCTCCAGATTATTGCACTTAATTGTCTCCAGAATCCTGTGGCTGCTTCACTGGACTTCTCCACTTCGAATTGTTTGGGCGCGGTCCCTGAGCACTCATGTCAGTGGCTTGGATAATTAAGCATGCACCTGGGTCTGGACTACAAAATTTAAAATGATTATTTGGTTTGTTAAAGTATTTCAAATTTATTTAAAAGTGTTTTATAAAAATGGAAATTAATAAATTGTTTTTCTAAATTTGCAAGCCTGTCTCAGATGTCCTAAGTATTTTAAGATCTACGAACCGGTGTGCCTTTATAAATCACACATAATTTTAATGAGAACCATTTGGTACCACCACATGAGTCCAGATAATTTTTGATTTGAGAGTTTATCAGTTTTTCTAGAACCTTGGCTAAAATGCAGAGTTTAGAGATTGGTCCATAGTTGTTCAGTGAGGGGGGGTCACCTCCCTTCAGCAAAGGAAGGACAAAGGCTGTTTTCAAGAGTCTGGATGGAGTTTTGTCTTATGGAGAGATTGAAGATGTGGGTCACAGGGACTGTGATGATATGAGCAGCCAGCCTTAAGAAGTAAGGTGGAAGTTCATCTGGACCTGCAGATTTTTTTGAGTCTAGACCTTTTAACAGATTAACCTCACTGACTGAACGGTGAAAATGAAAAGGTGTGATTAACTGAGGATTGACTTGTAGGAGGGATTTGATTTGAAGATGTTTGGTTATTAAGTGAAGTGGCTTCTAGGGTCATTTAGATCTTTGGTGGTCTGAGATAAGAAATAATTACATTTTGCGGCTTTGATGGAAGTTGTACATTTATTCTGCAGCTGTTGAAATTGCAACCAGTGTCTGAGCCAGATTTTCTCACTGCAGCCCAAAGCTGATCTCTCCTGTGCAGCAGGTCAGCTAACTCATGAGTAAACCAGGGGCTG